TCACTAAAGGTTCAGGAGCAGGACTTGTGGGGTGCTAAAACGTCTATGTACAGCGTTCTGTCAGTATCGAGACTGGCTGATCAGTTGACCGACCGGTAACTCACTATAGCTTCCAACTCATCGACGGAAGCAGTTAAGACCATGTAAATGACCGGATTTGTGTCCCCGAATCTGCGGAAGTGTCTAGGAAGTGAGTATCACTAGCGGTGTCGGTGTCGGAGCCGCTAGACGAGGTGGATGTGCGGTAATTGTAACAGTTTGGTGTGGTGTGAGTGAACTTTTCGGCGCGTGCGTCTGACAACACGAACCTGTTTGACTGCACTCAGCACTCAGCACTCGCATGTCTTGTTTGCCACTCACACTGAGTCAGCCTGTAGATTATCTCTTGCTTCGGTAACCTGGTTAGGATGAAATATGCCTAAGTGATGACAAATAGCCATGCATAACAGCCAAATTGTTTAAAATTTTTAGTACTGGTTTCAACACGTACAATTATAAAAAAAATGTTTCATATAGATTAAAACAATGATTGGATAGAGTTTGGTGGAGCATGGTATGTTTTAAGTGTCAGCATTATAACAGATTCCACAAGAGTATAGACAACAATTTACAGACAACACGAGTTACGGAATTGCTTCCAAATATACTAAGAGGAAAACATTAAAGGATAATTAATGTGTATGACTGAATTTTAAGGTTTTGATCTATTATTTGTTATGATCAAAAACCAAATGAAAATCAGTTGTAGACTTTATCATAGGGTTGTAGGAAGCAAAAATAAAAATTAATTTGCTTGTAACGATGAGGAATATCGCTAAGGAAACTGTTATCCGTACCTGTACACGTAGTAACTCGCTGCGAGAGTGTGAGAAGCGCAGTTTATGGAAATACAGTGGAGTTACGACGCTATAGCTGAAGTCACTTATGAGGTGCAAACTACTAACATCAAGAGCCACTTCCTGGGTATCTTCCGCCACCCCGTCATACATGAAACCTTGAAGAGTCCCGGAAAAGAGCAAAGTAAAGGGTAATCACCAAACTCCAATCACCTAGTTGCGAAGTGGAGCACTTCCATGATATAGTTAAGTCCGGTGGTCAAAGATCCGTTGTCTGTTGACAGTCCGACCTGTTTAATTAGTGACTGGGACACGTCAATGGAGGCGCAGGTTATTCTTCCCTGCGGTATTTTGATTGAGGCATCAAAGGGCAACGGACTCTAATGATAGTTCATGCATACTGGTAGACGTGAGGTCCAGTGCTCTTCTTGTTACTGGCCTGCTCTGTGTTGTGGACCAAACCACCGCGCTAGCCCCACAGCTCCCCAGTACACAACACTGAACTTACACGCTGGTATAGCCATGTTGTATGTTGGATCCATCATGTTGAAGGGACTTTCTAAAATCTTTAGTTTCACATATCAAAGGTGATTTGTTTAATTAATTGACAAATTTATTCGCATAAGTAACGAATGAGGAAGAACACAGTTCGGAAATGACTCCACCTTAGCCAACATCCCCGCTGTTGATTCCCTTCCCTCTTTGGGAGCACTTTCTAGCTGGGCTGGATCTTTAACAACTGCTTTCTAATTGTTGGAAATTGCGGTATTAATAGTACCAGTAAAATAATTACCGGTCGAGCACGCATTGGCAGGGAAACTGCAGTGACAAGCGTAGTGAACTGGTCAAGTCTGTGAAGAAGGAGGGGAGGGAGGTATTGTTTGTTATGATAACTCATTTTGGACTTTTCTGAGTTGTCACAATTGATAACCTTTATTCAAAACTATAACCATGTGTTATTAAATTATTGACTAAAAGGAACATGAGATTTTGGTAAATAAAAGACAGTGATCCTGTTTTATTTAATGGATTAGCTTCCACAGTATGCATTTAAATGAACTATGCAATATTTTGATTGAAATTAAATTCAAAACAACATTTAGAATTATAAATGGACCGTTGAACTGAGGTAAAAGTCAAAACAAATAAATTATAATAATCCACCAACACTAATTTTTTTATTGGGGGCTATCCAGGGAGTTTTATTTATCTTTTTTTTGTTCAATTTGAAATTCATAGAGAAAAACTTAGCTCTGGGGTGCACTGAAATTGAGAAACAACCACATTGTAATTTTGTGTGTAACCTTATGCATTGGGATTTCATAGCAGCGTTCATTGGATTGTAGGATTGCACGCTGGATAGGCACCGTACGCCATGAAAAGTAAAAAACAACTTTTAATGAATAATTTGGCAACAGAGCTGCTTGGACGTTTAAAAATATGAATACCCGTTAAAAAAAAGCTTGGCATAAAAGACAGTAATCATTTTGCACAAGCTACATCTCTGCGCCAGTCAAGGAAAAACCGCAGCACAATTGTAGCGAGGCCGTGCAAGACGCCACTTTGACGCTATTATCCCTAGGTAACGCCTTTCACACATGAATTGATAGGTGTCATCAATTAAAGGTTCAACCTCGCAATAGGTCGAGCTGCGGTCACGTGACAAACAATCAGCTGATTCTAACCTAACCTCACTGCCGGGTCTGGGGTCTTCCCGCCATTACCGCCTACATTCAAACCTTCTTTTAACTTCGGAGTGATGTTCAGTTCAAAGAAATTCAGAAAAGTTTAGAATCCAAATTCCTTGATTCTAAGTAAGTTTAGGTAGGAATACACTTTTGTTGAAACTAAAACATGCTAGCAAAATCTCTCCACAAAAAAATAATATAATGATATGTATCTTTAATTAATATATTTTTCATACACATCGCCCGTTTTATATAATTTGTAATGGACTTTGATAGGAAATGGGAATATCTATCTATATATATAAAAGGCAAAGCCCTCACTGACTCACTCACTCACTCATCACTAATTCTCCCACTTACCATTTACCTAGGAGACTGAAATTTGGTACACTGATTCTTTAGGCATTAAATAGGAAAACTAAGTTTTTTTTTTATTCTGATCGGACTCTCGGGCTCCGCCCCAGTGGCTCTGGACTTTGATAGGAAATGGGAATATTACATTATAATTGTTGAAATCTTCGAAGGAGCATTATTACAAATATATTCATTGTTTCTTGAGACGATCTAACTGTTGATATTAAGCAGTGTTAAAAGAAATACAGTCCACTAAAAACATCATCTAGTTTTTCTCTCTTTATTATCTATCTAGATCTATCTTTCAATCTAAGTTGATCCATCTACAGTATCTAAATTCTTTAAACAAGCAGCATTAAAGAGGAAGGAGTGATAACAGTATACTATATCAAAATAAGAGTCATAACATGTTGTGTCCAATATATATTCAATTTGGCCCCTTGTACTAAATATAAAAAGATTCTGTATATATTGTTTTAGGATCCATTTAATTAAATCAAAAATGGGGAACAGTATGGTAAGTTATTATTTATTATCATTAATTATTATTATCGCAGCGAAATCCATTGGAAAAGGCCAAATAAAACTGTAGAATAAATTGTAAAATTATGAAATACTATCAGTCTGATATAGGATATGATCAAAACTAATTCTAAACAACTCAAGGTTAATAAGTAAAAAAATGATAAATTTTACCCTACTTTTATAAAGAAAAACTATCATTTAAACAACTGTATTTTGACTTCAAAGGAACGGACACAGGGCCAGTGTGTGAAACAAGGGTAGTCAAGGTAGCGACCGTGTGTTAAGGATGCATGTTAGTTCACAACCTCGCCTGACATACAGTACTCACATCTGGGAGAATGTCAAGTAGGCTATACGGTATGAAGTATAGACAATGAGTTCCTATTTAGGAACAAACCAATTCAGAGCTGCTACTGTAACAGCTGATCGCTATAACGGACAAAGGTCGAGAGCGCGATTATTTGACACGGGAGACTCGCACTCTACTGACATTTAAATAATGTGCTTACCACATTGATGTACAATACAGTCTACAAATGTGCATCTCGGGTTGTGAAACTGACCATTATGTATTGGAGGACATTGTATTGTTGCGACATTTTAGATTAGGCGAGACTGGCAGGGCCAAAGAGGTTTAGTAGATGATGTGCTAGTTAACTTTGACCACTTTTCAATGTGGCCTAAGTTTGATACAAATCAATAAACTCTCTAATAAAACTCATGAAAAGAAATTAAATTAAATGCACTTAAAGCTTTGAGGAGTCAATGATATTTTGGTTGAACAATTTATTATTATATGAAAGTAGTTTAAGATTTTATAAATTTAGATACAAAAGCAGCTTGAATCGTTTTGAATATATATATCTTTCACAATTTTTTTCTGATAATACGTTATGGCGTGTGTTGATTTTTCGTTTCATGAAAGAAAAAGTTGTATAGTTTGGAAAGATATAATTAACTTTAAATTTGAAAAAAGTTGGCTAATAGAATATATTAAATTTGCATCCCGAAGTATAAAACTGAAACAATGGAAACCGATGTGGCTAGCTAAAATTTACAGTACATTTAGTACCAACAGTATTTTAGGGATGCGTAATCGCAATCCATTTAGTAGTAAATGAAAACCTGCTCTCATTTCCTTATAATGTATTATAATATAGTGGTACATAATGTATAAAAGTATCTTGAAATGCAGGAAGAATTTTTACAGTTCAAAAGGTTAGAAAGTAACTACTAAAATATTTACTAATATTTTAGATATCGGTCGGATATCTTACTACAATCTTTTAGTAGATAGACAACCCTACATATTTTATAATCAAGTAATATATGTTTAGTACGCCTACGTAATAATACATATTAAAGTATTATAGAATCGTAACTGTGGATAAATATTTATTTTTGAGTCTTTTAGAAAAATTTTAGAGTACCATTTCCATTGATATATTGCAAATACTGTATAAAATAAGTCTAGACAAACACATATAATATTCCAATATTGGGTTATAAAATAATGCCTATTATTTTTTCAAACACAACCATTCCTGTTTCGTTTGATCGTGCTTGGTTAGGTACAAAGTATAAAGTAATCAGTTACCTGGAGTAACAGGGGCAGTGTACTAGGTTGAACTTCAGCAGATCAGAGGAACAACTGCAGTCTGCAACAAAACATTTATAATGAACCTTAGCTATGAACTAATAGAGTTAGATATTTTAGATGTGTATTCACAGAGAAGTGTGTATTCTAATATTTAATTCCATCCTATAACTTAACCGTATGTTTAATAATTCCTACTAGCCGTTAACTAACAAGGTTTAAAGTTTATTTACAGTATTGTAAAACCATTTGATATCATACTCTAGCCAAGATAATATTTTTTCTTTGTTAAAAATTAATATTGGTTTTATCTTATACATAAGCGATGGCTCTATGTGATTCTTATTGATGACTTACTGTATTCATTTTTTTAAAGGAAATCGAACATGTTCATAATTTGTGTCATATTTTAAATACCAAAGCACTGAGTGGTTTTACGGTTGGCTTTTATTTTGGAATCATAACTTAAAGTGGTACAGAAATTGGATATTAAAGGTAACTTTAAAGCTATATCACAAGGATTTCGTATTAGATGCTTGTATTGACTTATTTGAGTTAAAAAATGCTAATTTAGTGTAGAAACTTAACTTTTATAAAAGGGTTAAGATTAAATTCAATTTTCAGAAACGTTACGTGTGTTGCGTTTAAGATTGTATAAGAAACCTTTTTTATACAGCTGTAAGTAGTTTTTCAAAGTGTTTAGGTAAAAAAAATGTCTTCAAAACAAGAATTATTTAAATACGGACTGGAGTAAAAAGACAAAGATTCTTAGACTTAAATTTTTAGAACATTACAATGTCAGTAGATTAACGTTAGTTGGTTAGTTCTGTTGTACTATGCATTGCCAAGCAAGCCGACCTGTTACTGTGTTACTCCATGCTAGACAGTCTACCAAGATCCCAGGCCCTCTTTTCGTGGTTCAGTTAATCTTCTAATTGGAAGATTTCATTAACAAGAGGTTACTGTAACACAATATTCATGATCATGATATGCGCCAGAGCTGGGCAGCCCGCTGTTATACAACTGGACTACTTTCTTGCCAACAATCTGAAGTTTAGTTAGTACATATTTTGAGAATGCCAAATAAGTATTTAATAATTTCTCATTTAACTGTTATCTATTTAACTATTGGATCGTATAAGTCTCGCATAGTATCCTGAACAAAGATTCTCTCATACTTAAGATTCAATTCAAACAACAATTTTCAGCCAATGTAGTCTACATTTTCTAGGTGCATCAATAGTTTGTTTATAGTAAACTAGAGGGGTAATGTATATAGAAAACCTAATTATCCAGTAGTTACTTGTTTGAACATTTTTCACTAATTAATGCGTTTCTGTTAAATTGTACTGATGTTTGATTTATACGTACGATGTGGATTCCAATTACATTAAATATTAAGTAAAGTAAACTAAAAATGTTAAAACATTTTTTATCACAGAGGCACAGGGTTGAAAACCAGAAAGAATACGTCAAATTAGAGGTACTCCATAACTATTCAGTATCCCCAGAAAGTAAACATTTGTAGACTAGTGAGGAATTATAACGGCAAAAAAGTTTATAGACTGTGAGATGTGGTTGGCATACATTATAACAGTGATGTGTGTTAATGCTTATATAATGTCGGTAGAGTAAGGACGAAGGATAAAGGATAGGCAGAGTTTGCGTGTCTGTGAGTGAGGACCGTGAGGACAGAGGAGACTAGGAGTAGACAGGCGCGCGTCGCGTGAGCGTGTGGCCCGTGTAAAATGGGCCATGGACTAGGAAACAGGTCGCACACCCCACGTCATACGCTACTATCATAATAATACGGATAAGTAGACAGGAGGATCATCGTGGTATGCGAAACTCGTGTGCTGAAAACTTAAACTGACTTTCTACAGATCCTGTATATTTTCTAGGCTACATCTTGCTCAGATGATTTGGAGGGACGAAAACGTGTCCTTTGAGTAGTGTATTTTAAATTAATAGTCATAAAACCCTAGTGACAAATTTGACTTTAAAATTAACGAGACTACATTGGGTCGTCAGTAGAGAGCCTCTGACGAAGACAATCAAATCGTAGTTTCCAGTGTTCCCACAATATCGTACTCATCGTACAGTACCTATTGGCGACTGAACGGAGATATAGATAATACGTGTCGGTGGGGATCAGGTCCGTAAAAAATAGCCATAGATCTAAAGTATTTTAGAATACAAAATGTGCAATCAAAGCAGAAGTACTGCGCTCTTGCCTGGTCGTGGCAATCTTGGTGTCCGATGCTAATTACAACCGCGATGCTGCAATCCCGCTTACTTTGATCCTTGGGCGCGTCTATTTGTCATTTGATTGTCTTCTTGTCGTGGACTGATTGCCTCACGGTCAATGGAGGGTGAAGCACAGGCAAAAGCAAAAGACAATACTTTACTTGTCATCCTGATCAACAAAAGTGTCACTCATTTCTGCATCCTGTGGTGATAAAAGAGTGCTTTAATATTGGATCTGTAACCTTCATTTATCAACAGAAATAAAGTAAAAGAATAGATAATAACTTTGTGGTAGCCAAATTAAGACTTACTGTAATACGTTTTCAATGCCGGATAGCATACGGTACTGCACAATATCATATTCAAAAGCCATTTCGCAGAATATTGTGGATATCAAAACCAACGATGTAAAGAACATACATCCAAACATCCTACATCCAAACATGCTGGTCCAAATGATATCTTCCATCAATCAAATCTTCTATTTAAAATTTGTCAACCATCCCTAGTGCATTCTAAATCGTCACATTTTTAAACTTATACAAAACATATCCTTTACAAATATTTCAAGTTCTCTGTAAACTATTGTTACGTCTATTGTAGCGCACTCTATTTCAATGACACAACCATGATCATACCATGATAATACAGACAATAAAGTGTTTGGTATGCGAGGTAGGGTATGGGGCGTGGTTCTTGGAAGTATACCCATAATTTAATCATGCAATCTAAATGTATTCTTTTAGGTCACCAGTCAAATAGTTTACAAGTATTTGTCATGTTGTCAAAGTCAAGGACTAATTTTGTCACCTACAGAATCTTCGTAATAAGTGTGAAAGCCCCAGTTAAGCAATTTTAAATTATACGTCTAACGCTTTCGGTTAACCGAGAGCAATTTGTAGTGGGAACGCTTGAATGTCAGCATTGCTTGTATTTTAATGTAGTTCAGAATCTGTGTAATTTAGGTCGTGCTAAATAGAACATGCTTTACAATATATTGTACGATTAGCCGCTATATAAAATATAAATATGATTAGGTCTATCATAAAACGTGATCTTTGTTGTAATCAGGCGGTTGACAAGGTTAATTTTTAGTTCACTAAATAAGCACAAGAGCTGCAGTATGTAACCGATATTCAATCAAATGGGCTTGGAACAAAGATGGTTCTCTCTTTACTTGTATGTGGAAATTATGAAAACAAGTAGGAGCAATTGTGTAAACAATCAAGTCTGTTTTATTTATATTTCAGGTTTTAATTTGAAATTTAATTATGATATTGGAATGTGCATCTTATAAAAATGTGCAACTATAAGTGTGCAGAATAAGTGCATCCAGCAATTATTCTGTTAGGTATTTTTCCATTTTTATTTACTGACCCACTTTTATTCACGTTTCGCGGTAATGTTAATGTTTAAAGGTTATGTACATCCAATAAGAACTTGGACAACTTGCAGTCATAAAGAGAACACAGGTTTGCAAACACAGTTTTACCGGCTCCTTCAGCAGTAGGTTTTACATAGCCTAGCGGAATGACTGTGCGACTATCTTTATTGTCGGTGTAGCTGTCATTGCTAGGGTACCAGAATCAAGATGCAGCTGCGGAGACGTGGATTTCCTAACGGTCGACACACTTGTTGGACCCAGTCGGGCTCCGCCACCTTACTACACAAACACCGGGAGCTGGCCACACACAACAGCGCACAACAGGAGCACGATATGGACCAGCTGAGGTTATTTTTTTGGAATAGAACACAGCCCAATTAGCCACTCACAGATTGCACTGTCAAAACTCGATTTGTTCCTTTAGTTTTTGTTTTTTCCCATCGTAGTTGATGAAACATAAAATATGCTATAATTTACAATAAGCTGCCCTTTAAATTTGGTAAAGAGATTGCATATTTGACAGTAATAATGATTGACATCAGCGACCTCTGTCAGTAGCTCAATTAAACTAAAGTACATCAAATCAATTAAAAATTAACTGGCTACAGCTGATTGAGTGTGAGTAAATAACGCGCTTTCACAATCACGTTAACAAGGTAATTGTGTAGAGAACGACAATGCGGTGAAGTCCATGGACGTATTGGATGTTTTATATGTTCACTATCAGCTGATGAGTGTTGTGACCAAAGTTTATATGCTTATGAATCATTCGCATAACTAAGGATTGCGACAGAGATTACAGAGGACAGACGACAATAGCTAGTGACCCGATTGTTGGAACCAGTTCCCCCACGGAAAATTCTCATCTCACTTTCCGACAGTTTGCGGAGCCATCTGAATCAGAGGTTTACAGCACTTGACGCACTTTAGCCAAACTCAAACTATCCATTGCTTACATGTGGTTTTTAGATCAAGAAGAACCAAGAAGAGTTTTTGCTACGCCGAACCTATAATGTAAGCATCGCACAATTTATTTTTAAAACAATAAAATTAATCAAGACCATTTTATCTTACAAACCACATGAAAATGTACTCGTTCAAATAAAACTGTTAAAACAGTCGTATATGAGGGATAGACAAATTCACAAGTAAACATTGTAGAACAGAGTTATTAAAACGAAGAAATTGGAATTTATTTAAGATTTGAAAACTGTTTGTATGGTAAGTTTGGTAAAGGCTACCCACGTAGAAAAAGTTAGTAGGGACATTTTCCTACCTAGAGTCATAATGAAAATGTTGTCCCATTGATGTACAATAAATCAAATGTTCAATTCAATCAATGTATTTTATTTTTATCCTGTTATTGGGGACAAAGTGCAGAAGAAAAAGATAGTATTAAGTCATATTTCAACCATAAATATTAGAGAAAA